CCAAGCGATTCTGTGATTCTGTGTGATTCTGATTCCAGTGGTCTCCCTGTTTCTGCTAGGAGTTTTACCTGGCTGTATTTTGTATTGTGAGTAGAGCAAGGAGTTGAATTCTTTCTAGCTTAGTTTCCAGTTTTTCTTCAAAACTGATGCAAATCATTTAGGTCCTGGTTTGTGCTGTCATTTAGTTGTCTACAGTTGCTTGTGTAAACTTAATGGGACTTTTAGAAGTGCTTAGTTCCCATTTGATGTGTTTCAGAAATTTGGGCCATTTTTTCTTGATGGAGTTTTCTGATTCTCATTGCCTTAATAGTGAAAGGGCTTCTGAAAAAGGGTGTTGGAGCCCTTGGAGAATGTCTGATAGGGCAAGACGGTGTAGTTAACGTTGAGCTGTGGGTTAGTTCCCATCTGAAGTACCTGGATGTGCTGCACCACACCAGGTGAGGCAGAGACACAGCTGCCAAGGGCAGAGAGCGGCAGCAGTACATTTGTGGTAATTCAGGGACATTACAGTGACCAATCCTTGCTCTGTCCTCTCTGCAGGCACAAGCTGAGGTGGCACAGCTTCCAGAGCTCCCACCGGCCCAGCCTCAGCTCAGCATCCCTGCAGATCAACTGCCAGTCCGTGACACAGATGAACCTGCTGCAGAAGTACTCTCTCCTGAAGCTGACTGCTCTCCTGGAGAAGTACACACCTTCCAACAAGCATGGTTTCAGCTGGTAAGGACACGGGTGTGTAGACGGGCTGCTTATACAAGCACAAAAGTTGCACTCATCCTAAGCAACTTTTGGAAAGATGCAATGAATCCCTTGTCCCTCTTTTTCCATATTTGCACGTCTTCCTCCAGTCTATGCTGACGGTGATTTGTCATTTCCTAAGACAGGGCTAAAAGCACTAACCCTTTACATAAAGTGAACTTGTTAGGCTTGAGAAGTATATTTATAGGAGGCATGTGAGGGAATAAAAGCAGTGAAGAACAGACCAGCTTTGTGAGCAAGACATCCACTATCCATAGCAAAAGAAGGACTAGTTGTTGTGCTTATATATTTGTTTTAGTTTCTCTGTATAATGATGTCATTAAATAATGTAAATTTCCTTTAGTTCTAGCATCTCACTAGCCAAAAAAACATCTCCCCTCTTTAAAGCGCATTAAATCCACCACTGTAAATCCAGTTAACTTGCAAAAAAGATGAGAGGGGGGAAGAAAGACTGAGAGAATCATAGAAATTTTTGTAGGTAGCAATTTCTGCTGTGGCCAGGTGTTTGTAACCCAGTTTAAAGTTTTTTGTCAGGAGTATGAAATAGAAAGCTCTTTTGTTATTGTATCTGCAGTACTTCCTGTGTAACCTTTGGGATGCAAAAGATGCAATAAAATTTTTGTTCTCCCTACCACAGGCCAGCCTCCTCCCTTCCCCAGGAGTCACAGAGAGTATTTAGCTTCAGCATCAAAGTACCTCCTGTTCAAAGGCTGTTATTATGTCAGCCCTTCTAAATACAGAAGTTGTTTGTTCTGAAAGACAGAAATAAGTATTGACCAGTTATCCCTGCATGCTTCAGATTCTCAGTGGAGATCGCAATGTGTTTTTTCACATTCCATTGGCATGTTTTTTGACAAAGCAAGTATTATTCATACATATATCAATAATGCCCTAAACTTAACTATATGGCAATACAAATTGGTCCTGTTTTACTATGTAACAGATTAGTCAGCTGTAAATCTAATGCACTGTTTGTATAGCTGTACTGTATACTGAAATGTTAAATAGGTCCCCCTGTTTTCCAGTGCTGCTGTGTCCTATTAGCTGTTGCACTGGCCATTAGCTTTTCTCCCTGTTAAGGAAAATTATCTCAATATTTTCACATTTTAGTGGCACTTTTTTTGTTCCCTTTATGAAACCAATACTCCTGGGGACTTGGGGGTAAATCATTCTTTTGTATGTAGTAACTTTTTCCTTGGATTCATAAGCAGATGGAAAGGCCTCTTATTGAAACTGGAGTGGGAGGTGGGGGTAACAAGAGTCACTGGCTGACAAGGAGGGGGGTGCCTCAAAGGGGTTGTTTATAGAGCTGAAGTTTTCAGCTGACAAACTCAAATGTATTACATCAGTTTCCTGCTGTTATGCACACTGGTGGGTGGTGGACCCAGTTTGAGGACTTTGCAGAACAAGTAGTTGACATACAAAAGCTCTTTGTTCAAATGCCCATCTTTCCCAAAACCTAAAGAAGCAGTGTTATAAGGGGTCATTGACCGCAGGATTTATTTTGACTCTTTTGCAATTCAATCTGGCCCCTGCAGTTTTACCCTGTAGCTTTTGTCCTACTAATATTGATGGAGTAGCACCACATTAATACTTACAGGCAGCATATTGCCCTGCATGTCTTTCTCTTAAAGTAGCTCCGTTTTCTGTCCTTTCCTCCTTTCCAACCCTGAATGGATTAGCTAATTTATACTGTCACTACTTTTCATATTACTAAAATGTTTCACTTGTTTTTGCTGTCTTTCTGAATTACTGGAAATATATGAAATAAATGGCCAACAGAGGTTTAATTTAATTTTGTCATTCTCTTTGCTTAAATAGGGCAGTACCAAAATTCATGAAGAGGATAAAGGTGCCAGATTATAAAGACCGAAATGTGTTTGGAGTACCCCTGCAAGTCAACGTCCAGCGCACAGGGCAGCCTCTTCCCCAGAGCATTCAGCAAGCCATGCGGTACCTCCGCAACCACTGCCTGGATCAGGTGGGTTTTGCTGTACTCTCATCCCACTTGCATGCACTTCCCAAAACCAGCCTTCTATTCAGTCTTCCTTGGGTCAGACTGAAAATGTGGAGTCAAAACAGGACAAAATGGGTAATAAATGCAAAGAAAATTTTCTGTGACATTAGAATCCATACATAACAAGCTAAAGAGCATACTTATATTTCAGATTTGCTGGAATCATTGTAAAAGTATTTACCTTTCCGTATATATTTAGGTTGGACTGTTTAGGAAATCTGGAGTCAAATCAAGAATTCAGGCTTTGCGTCAAATGAATGAGAATGCAACAGACGCCGTCAACTACGAAGGCCAGTCTGCTTATGATGTAGCAGACATGTTGAAACAGTACTTCCGTGATCTCCCTGAGCCTCTCATGACCAACAAACTCTCTGAGACCTTCTTACAGATATACCAATGTAAGTAGTGAGATTTCTGCGGCAGATGGCAAGTAGTCATTTGTGTAGCAAGGGTGGAACTTCTGAATACTGCTCCTCGGAGCACTATGTGTGTTGCATATGTTGATCTTTACCTTTCTTCAGCAGCCATCAGAGTTCAGGCTGCCCCATAAGGAATGGATTTTTGATGTTCTAGTTGTACAATCATTTATAGTAGAAGTTCTTTTCATTTCACCTTTCTCTGTAGTTTGGGACCAAATATAAATCCTCCATAACTTTCTGTAAAGTTTCCTCTCTTCTTTGAGCAAACTTGATATTACGGTTTGAAAGTAAGCCATGTCTGATGTGGCTAGCTAGAGGCGCTGTGCAACCACTGCATGAACAGAGTTTGGGGCTTTCAAGGGGATTGAAATCCACTAAATTGCTGAGATTTTTTTGTAAAGAGCAAGGCTGCCAAAAGATTTCTATTTTCTTATAATTCCTCTTCTTGTATACTTCACCACAACTTTTGGAAACAACCTTTACGGTGAAAGCTTTTCTCATACTGACTTGTAGCTACTTTACTGATAGGTACCATAAACAGAAAGTGCCTAGAATAAATCATATAAAAATAGAGTTTATCAATGCACGTAAAAAGAAATAATCTTTCTGAGATGACAGGTTCAACTCCAGCAAGGGAGACGTTCTCTATTGTGAGCTAGATAAATTGAGCTAGGTAATTTTGTGCTGAATCTTTCCAGGCAACACATTGTCTTTCGAAAGTCTTCTTCAACATTGTTTCACTGGGAATACTCTCACTTTATAAAATGGCCAAAGATGGGTTAATGTTTGGTGACCAGAACTCCAAAGCTTTTTAAAATATTCATGGGTATGCAAACTGATTGATGCACTATGGGCACCTTGCTGATCCCATTATTTGTCTCCCTAACACCACCCCAGCTCTTTCCCCATATATTCTTCCAATGATAGCACAGCTACAACAGAACTTACTGCAAAAACACCTTCTTTGAACCCTTGTTGTATTTTGTGCCTTCTTTGTGATGGTTACAAAAAGATTACAGGAACTTCCTTCAGAGCTCCGTAGGTGGAGGTGACAGTTTAAAATAAAAACATACACTGTTATTTCAGTACATGCGTTTTTCTGTGTGTGTTTGGATTCCCAAGAAGGTTTATGAAGAAAATTAATCAGACTCTCCACTTCCGTGCTTATTAAACAGCAACTCTTTGTGGGTTTAGTGCCAGAAAGAGTTTGACAGAGCATTGCAGAAGTATCTGTTCCTTTCCTTTTGCAGGCGGTAGGTCTGAGGAATCCCCAGAGGTGGTCGGGAAGTATTATCTCTGTGTAAAACAAAGAGCCTTAAAGCAGCTGTAAATTTTGCTTCCCTGCAAAGGACAAAATATCCCTTTTGCTGTGGTGTTATGCACCAGGCCGTGCACTGAAATTGTCTGCATGTGGCTTAAATGTGCTTTGAGCTGATGGAGGGCAGAGTTTGGAAAACAGTGGATTTTTGCTTAAAAAACACTTTCTAAACTCACCTGCTAGCTTTATGAAGTTGCTGAAGCCCAAAGCAAATACCAATTAAATATCTGGTTAGCATCACATATATTATGAGACACACAGTGAGGGTGCTGTGGTGCTAATAATGATAGAAATGCTCCAGGACTCAGACTCTGATGTTGTCCTCAGAGGTGACTTGTTGGAAATCCCTTTATAAGAAGCAGATCTGGTCTGGGTTATTTCATTTTTTGTTCCTTTCAAGTTTGGAGGAGAGGGCCTTATATAAAGACACACATCAAATTTTTCCAATGGCTGTTTGTTGTTAGTAACCAAGGAGCTGTTTAATGGTATGGGGCGTCACAGCATTGACTTTCTTTTTCCACCGCATGACTTTGAATGATCTGCCCAATAAAGCAACCCCCTGTGTTTGGTAAAGCACTTTCTGGATGTTTTATGACATCACTGTTGAAAAGGTTTGCTAGCCAATTTATTTAATTAATTCACCTATTCTAAAATGTATTAATGTTTTGAATTTCTTTGAAAGCCAAAGAATTTCTAAATTGGCTGGACTGTTTGCTTGTTCACTGCCTGACTCCAGGCTTCTGTCATTTTAGTGCATCTGTGGGAGCATGTAGCTGTTGAAATGAAATCTAAAATTAACTCTGGTCTAGGCACAATTTCTTCTTGCTTGCATTTCTTGTGAGGCAGGAAATAGCTGAGCATGGTTAAACTAGTGGGTTAAAAAAAAATGCCTTCATGTTTCCTACCAATGATATGCATCCTGAAGGAAATCACTTCAAACTTGAGTCAAGTATTTGTAGCTGTAGTTTGCTTTGGGATGTATTCATGCTGTGTGTGTGGAAAATCGATGGGCTGATGAGAGAATTGCTAATATTATGCAGATGTGCCAAAGGATCAGCGTCTCCAGGCTATCAAGGCTGCCATTATGCTTTTACCCGATGAGAACAGGGAGGTCCTCCAGATTCTTCTCTATTTCCTGAGTGATGTCACAGCTGCAGTGAAGGAAAACCAGATGACACCGACAAACCTGGCCGTCTGCTTAGCACCTTCCCTCTTCCACTTAAACACTCTCAAAAGAGAAAATTCTTCCCCGAGGTATGTCTCCAGGGAGCAGGGCTCATTGCTGCTGGTCCCATACCACAGCTAGTGGTGCTGTGTAATAGGCATAGTCTGGCTTTGGCCTCAACCAGTTCTGATTACCTCGGACACCTCAGAGGGCATGGAGTGTAGAATGATTATGGGATCCTACCTTTTGTTAGAGGTTTGTTAAAATACAAGCAAGTTCATAAATGAGAAGGAATGGGGGAATTCCAAAGGAAAAGTTTAGAGTAGTGAGAGACATTTGAAAAAACCATGCCAAGATTTGGTCCTGGGCAGCACTGTTCTAAATCAGCAGCAGATTTGAGAATCCTACAGTTTTCTAACCAAACGTTTCTCTTGTTCTGCATTCAGTAACTGGATTTTTATGTGTGCTTTTCTTCCCTGTGAAGGGTGATGCAAAGAAAACCAAGCCTGGGAAAACCTGATCAGAAAGACCTGAATGAAAATCTGGCTGCAACCCAAGGGCTAGCTCACATGATCGCTGAATGCAAGAAGCTCTTTCAGGTAAAACACCTATCTGCAAAACCAATGGGTGGACTTGACCAACATGGCTTAGGTCTGCTGTATAATCAAAAGCTAGGAATGTCTCTTTATTTTAATAAAGTTTAATACATTAGAAATAGCTTTTTAAAAACGTTTGCACCCTGATCTGGGCGCATGCCTGAATTAGAAGTGGTGCCAAGAAGAAGTGAGAATTGTTTTGTTGGCACTGGCACTCAAAAGTCATGAGGCAGCTATGGGGCTTGGGGTGTTTCTGTTATATCCAAGCTGCATTTAGAATATGTTTTCAAGCTTTTATTGTGCAGCCATGAAGATCTGTGAACTTCAGCTCTAATTACAAAGCAAGAAGCTATTTCCAGGAATTTCAGTGCTTGTTTTATACTTAAATTCCCAAGAGTTAGCAAGGCTAGGCCACAAAAGCGTCCTGGAACATGCCACTGTCAGACCGTAGGCTGGAGGGTCTGTAGAAACTGAAGCATGCTCCCTCTAGGGCCTGGGATGGAGAACCAGACAAGTCTTGAGTCCTGTTTTTCCTCACTGTCATCGACTCTCTTCAGAGTCCACAACTGAAGACATGCCTGTCTTTTTTTCTTGTGGCTGACAACTGACTCCTCCTTCCTTCAGTCTGCAGGGTAAACTGTGCTGTGGGAATGGATCTGAGTTGTGTAGCAAAGAGGGATACTCCACAGTAAAAAATAAGACACCTCATAAATGAGCAGCTGATTTGAGTTAAATCAAAATCACAAAGCTAATTCTGGCATTTCTTCACATTGAGTGCTTGACCTGGCACATACACGTCCCACCACTTACAAAACTAGTGTACCCGTCTTTCTGTGACTATCAAGCTGCTAGACTAACTCTGTGATTTGAGGAGAGAGTTGCAAGAGGATGATTTCCCCCTTTTTACCCCTCAGATACCTGAAGAAATGAGCAGGGGCCGGAACTCATACACGGAGCAGGACCTGCGTCCCCTCAGCCTGGAGGAACTGCGGGGTGGCAGCAGCACCGCTGAGCCCTCCGACTACCACTGCTACCTCCAGGACTGCGTGGACGACTTGCTCAAGGAGATGAAGGAGAAGTTTAAAGGCTGGGTCAGCTGCTCCACCTCAGAGCAAGCAGAACTGGCCTACAAGAAGGTACCCTATCTCTCATGCCACAGTCAGGTTTTTAGCTCGTATTCTTTAACATAAGGAGGTTTTTGACATAGGGTATTACAGAAGACTCAGTGCACACCTTTACTTTGAAGAGATTTAAGAAAAAAAGGAAAAAAAACCCAACATAAAAACCAGACCTTAATCTTTTGGCATAGTTGCACATGTCTAAAAACAACATATCTTTCAGCAGTAGTCAGCTAACATGCACTGATTTGTGTTCTTCTGTTTACCCAGCTCAGGAATGTTCGCTGTATTGCTTTTACACACCTTCACTCACACATGCAAAGCCTTGACAGACTGAATGAAGTCTCAAAGCACTGCCACTATGCAGGCAATAGGAAAGAAGTGTCTCTGCTCTAATTTTTCACAGCTCAGAGCTAGCACAGAGAGAAGTGTTTCAATGAGATTGAAGATATTTTAAAAATAAACTTGGAAAATGAGGATACTTTTCAGTAGCATCACAGTTTAATAGTGACCCATACTGGGGAAGGTAACTGTAACTTAAAAATAAGTTGGAAGTCAGTATGCAGATGTCTGGCTGTTAGAAAAACAGCCTTATGACAACATACATATAGTACAATATATACATATGTGTGTGCATGTGTATTTAATTTGCTGTATATATCCAACACTAAAATAGAAAGGAAAAAAAAAACGTAACGAAGAGTAAAACTGAGGACTCTACTGACTTTCCCAGGTATGTGAAGGTCCCCCGCTCCGGTTATGGAAAACTACCATAGAAATCCCAGCTACACCAGAGGACGTTTTAAATCGTTTACTTAAAGAGCAGCATCTTTGGGATGAAGATCTTATAGATTCAAAAGTAATTGAACCTTTGGATAGCCAGACAGATATATACCAGTATGTCCAGAACAGCATGGCACCTCACCCAGCCAGGGACTTCGTAGTCTTAAGGTAAGAATTATATTTGTGTGGTGTTCATATCCTACACATACTTGCCTACTTGCCTACAGTTTCTGTAGGATGTAAGTTATATAGGTAATATCTGCTTGTGTATGATTTGAAGCCTTATTAGATGTTTGAATTATTTTTTGTCTAAGGTAAGACTTTTTTTCTCTTCTCTTTTTTCTTAGAACATGGAGGACAAACTTCCCCAAAGGAGCTTGTGTGCTTTTAGCAACGTCAGTGGACCATGACTGTGCTCCAGTGGCAGGCGTTAGAGTCAATGTGCTCCTGTCTAGGTATCTGATTGAGCCCTGCGGGTCAGGAAAATCTAAACTCACCTACATGTGCAGAATTGACTTAAGGTATTAATTTCCACTTTGTTCTTTTGTGGTGGTAACTTTTCTTGTATAGTTTCCATCTAGTCAGTGCAAAATTTAGATGGTTCAACAAGCTTTAGCTTGGCCAGTAGTAAGTACTTACCAAAGGCATGCACACAGGTCTCTGAGGTGTCGCAGAGCGTCAGTGCACATCTAACAGCAGGTGTGGTTTGTTGCATTAGAAGCCTTCAGTATGTGCTCCACCATAGCTATTGGTATATAATCCAAATATATATAATAATATTGGTATATAATCCAGATGTATTTGGGTGCAAGGATATGTTAATTTTAATATTAAGTTAGTAAAGAGGACCAAGTTCTTGCAAAACTCAGTGCAGCAAAATTGGTTTTGAGCAAGCCTATATATTAATGAGACTGAGCTGAGCAATAAGCAGTAATAAGGAGATTTCCTAGTTGGGCATTTAACCAGCTAGATATATATTTGATTCTGACTAAGAAAATGAATGCAAAGGTGCTGATACCTAGTTCCTCATTACTTTTTCTCCACACATTAGGGGCCACATGCCAGACTGGTACACCAAGTCTTTCGGACACTTGTGTGCATCTGAAGTTGTTAAGATACGAGACTCATTCAGTCATCAGAGTCCTGAGAGCAAGGAAGTAAAGTCCAGGTGACTACTGAAGAGGAACAGCCATGCACTCCACCCATCAGCAACGTAGACATTACCCAAAACTGAGGCTCATCTGCTGCAGACTGGACTGGTATACCATCTGCAAGTCATGTCATGAAAGGATGACAGCATGAGAACTTGACTGTGAGCATTACTATAGGACTGTGGCCATACCATACACTTTAAAGCTGCTTCCTGTCTGTGTAAGGTCTATAGTGTAGGCCTTGACTGGAATATATAGGAGGACTCTGCAAAAAAAAAGATGTTTGAATTGCTTCTGAGAAGCAAGATTCTTTAAATGCAAAATATATTATGAAATATGGTGAAGGCTCATCATTCCCATGTGAAATACTTATCTTTATGTACATACCCATGTCATTTTATTTGTAGTGAGTGGAGGGACTGGTGTATCCACTGGATTAGTTGGTACTCTTCAATGTGTTCTCACTGAGATAAGCAGAGAAAGGTTTGCACAGAGATTAAAGTGTGAATGAGTGTGTTAATGGTTGAAAGGATAGCAGAAGTCGAACTTGAAATGTGTCTGGTACACTGATAGGCAACCAGAATGGATTTTAGTATGCTGGATACAGTTCAACCTGGAATTAGACTCCCCTGTGGACCAGGCATAGCCATCCTTCCCATGTGCCAGTTCTGCATTTTCCTCAGCTCTAACCTTGTTAAAAATCCTAACCAGGTGTTACAAGAGGCTTGCTCCAATTACTGTCCACTCCTCATCCAGATGATCTTTCAGGAGTGATAAGCAATTCTATAGCAATTATAGTTTTGAGCAACATAGCAGCTTAGAAATGAAATGTCTATGCAACGGTGAAGAGAGCTAGTAACATCAATTGTTAATTTGCTAAAAGATGTTTGTTGCTTTTATTCCTATCTGTGTTAATGAGCTTTTATATATATTACTGTACTCTAACAGCTCAAGAGGAAAAAGTCAACACTGGAGTTGCAGTGCTGGGAGGTGGCAGGACCTCTGCAGCAGCAGGCGGGATGAGGTGGCTAGGAAGGGTCGGACAAGCACTCCTTTTCTCTCCCTCCTTTGCCTGTTTTCTTAAAAGCTGCACATTAACATGAACAGAACCTGGATGTGAGCAATTTGGAGGGTTTTATTTGGGGGCAGAGAGGAGGGTAGGGTTTTGTCTTGCGTTTTGTTGGGTTTTAAACCCTTTGGAATATTCCCTCTCCTTGAGAATCAACATGTATGAACTGTAGGAAGTCTTAAGGTCCTCTAGAAAGGTGTCTTTCTGTAGGTTTTACTGTAAGGATAAAGATTTGCTTTGAAGGTGCAGTATTAAGTGATAAATGTATTTTGTGGCTAGGGTATGAATGAGTTGCAAGATGGAATTTTGACTGAGACTTTGTTACCATTGTCAGTATTATTTTAAGCTTTTTGATGAAGATTTTTTTTATTATAGCAAATAATGTAGTACTTCCAGTAACAGTGTTCCTCATGAGTAGGAAAACCTTGTATATTCTTCTACATCAAACACTTTTGAATTTGTAAAATTGTATGATGTACATACCATTCTATTGTAAACATGTATACTTGCCCACAGTGTACTGTCAAACATAGATAAAGCATGATAAAGATTATTTAAAATATACCTGTATTTATACCTCAGATATTCTTTTTGAGTTTTTGTACCTCAAGTATGTTTTGTATTGTAAATGCGCTTTACATGACTATGATCTACATGAGAGAAAGGAAAATGTTTAACTTGCTATAGATGTCTGTACAGAATATACTCAATAAGTGCACTATTAAATGTTTAAAATTGGAGAAGCTTAATGTTTTTTATTTTATTCTTCCTTCCACTCTCATTGTGGAAGAGGCAGCATTTTTCTTACCACCAGTTCTTTACATACTGCTACCAACTGCGTAGCCACCTGTGCCCTATCCAAGATCAGTATTTTTAACATTGTTAGAGGCAGGTAGCAAAGCAATTTCATAATTTTTGGAAGACAAGCTTTCACGATAGGAGATAGCTGGACAGAAATACTCCTGTCAATAACTTCATACAGTTAAAAAGATGAAACCTCTGTTTTGCTGCTGTCTTGTGGAAAGGTACTCTTGAATTCAACAGGGAACAAAGCAGACTCCTACTTCACAGGTAGTTGCATGCAATGCTGAAAAATAACTTGCACTTTCCTATTTTGAACAGGGAGAATGAGAGCATGACTAGTTGTGGAGTCATAGGTTCCCTTTAAAAAATGCAAGCGTGAAAGTAATTGGGGAAAGTTAAAGCACAGGCACAGCAATGAAATTAAGCCAAAGAGAAGGCCAGGAGGATATACAAACAACTGACTAAGGTGAAAAACTAAGCCAAAGACAGCTGTTAATTCAAGCAGCTCTAAAAACTTTTTAAACTCTTAGCCAACAGAAATATAATTTGGGCATCTGAAAGAGGATTTTGATTTGTGAGGCTTGTCTGACAGAGCCACTGGAAGGAGGCCTGCTGCCTTTCAGTTACCAACATCATCGTATTCTTTATCCATCTGAGCATCCCGAAGTCCTGATCGCTATCGCTTCCCACAGTGTTCCCAAGGGAGCAACGAGGGATGCTGCTTCACAGTCTGACAAATGCCAGCCTCTTGCTGTCATGGTACTAGGTCTCACACACCAAAGAGTCTTTTAGGGAACCTTTCTGATAAGGGACTGGCATTTGTTTGGCTCTTACAGGGTCTTTTTTCTTTCCAAGTCAATACTGAAAGTAAAACAACTGCAAAATTTAAAAAAAAAAATCCAGACAGATTTGTTCACAGTTTTGGGCCCTTGGAACAAGCAGAGTTAGAGCTATTTTATTTTTTCTCTGTACTGTTGGTTTTGTTTGTATTTTTAAGCACACTAATGTACAACTGGATCCTCAGGCACTTCAAAAATTTACTGTGCATTATTTTTTAAAGTGCATTTAGGTTACTTTTAAAACAGCATTTTCCTAAATATTTCTAAAACATGATTTAATTTTTACTCTTCTAGATCGCCTCAATCTTGTGCATGTTTGTTTTCTTGACACCTTCATTTGCAGGTACCCATGTTGTAGTTGGACAACAGAATTCAAGTTTCCATGTCTGTGTTTCTTGTCAGGTGTCACTCAGCACTGGCCCTTGCTCAGACACCCTCTTGCTTTAAGCAGTGGTCGCCGCAGAGGAGCATAGGCTGGGCCTCCGTTCAATTCTGGCAGGGTGCTGGTATGGCTGACCTGCGTATGTGGCATCCCCAGTGCAGCACAGGTCCAGCCTGCTGTGTGCTCCAGTCATGCTGAATTTCAATACTGCGTTCTAACAAATTAAAATGGAAATATCCATGTTTTTCTGTCATTCCTCAAGTAATGCACTCCACAATTAGATATTTATGAAGCTGTAAATAATCAGTGGCCTTCATCTTAAAGGCCAGAAGGCAATGCCACTAACACACAAGGACGGTCTGGAAACTGAGACTTCAAAATTATGCAAAGCAGTACCTTTGCAGTCTGGTACCTTTGAAAGAGCAGGACCTAGTATATATTCACAACAGTCTGTGTCAGGAGAAGGTTGATATGAAAACAGTATCCATGACTCGGGCTACATAACAAAAGGTAGATATTTACACTTAAGACATATTAAATTTAAATGTTATACATGGATCTCCTACATAATGCTGGAAACAGTGTTCTACAATCATAAAGAGTGAAGTCAAGACACTCTTTAAATAGAGCATTAAAGAGACATTGAATAGGCATTACATTTTCAAACAAAATGCTGATTCTTTTGACTGTTACACCGTAATATGTCAGTACAGTCATTGTCTGCATCCATCACACAAGGAAATACTAAACATTTCTGAAAAAGTACTTTGAACTATTTCTCATCTGTCAGCTCAGAGCTGTATCATTTCTCTTGCAAGAAGAGGGATCAGTGTCTAGAATGATGACTAGCATAGCACTGGGGGCAAAGTGAAGTACTGTTCCTGTTATTGATGCTATTTTGCAACTTTTGCACCCATGATTCTTTTGTATCCATGCTTCATTTGCATTGAGCACTATCTGAGGCACAGCTTGCTCACTTTCCTCTCCCCTCTGCACCATCCTACTATATTTTCCAGTATTGCCCGAGGCATCTAGAATTTGTGAAATAAATTAACTTCCTAGCTGAAGCCAGGGACAGTAAAAAAGCAGTGAAGGATGGGAAAGAATTCAAAGAAAAAAATTCCATCAAAAGAGGTTAAGGCACTGAAGGGGTACATTTGTACAGAAGGAGTCAATACACATAATCTGGCCACTAGACAAGAGGGATGTAGTAAACATCTACTAGCACTGGAAGGTCATAAAAACACAGAAGAGTTCAAACTAAATGAGTGGGTGTACAAGTTGGGATAAAAATTTTTTAAAGGAAAATCTGAGGCAGAAGGAAAGGAAAAGGCATTTTCCACACAGCAAGAGGTCTTTGAGGCTGTGGGACAATCTCTCCCTGAGAAGCATCAAGAGCATAAGTCATTTAAAACAGCGCAGGATAAAACCCTGCAATCATTCCAGCACTAGCTTCATGAAGACCTAAAGCATTATGAAGACCTAAAAAAGGTCCTCTCTTCATTAGCTGACACAATTACAGAACTTAGAAGCCACAGATAAGCACTACCTTGTTGGGTAAGAAACAATCGGGTGTCAAAAATAAAGTTACAGATAGGCAACTCAGTTATTTTGGAAGTTGCTAATGAGCAAGTCTTTCTTTAAGACTTATACTGAAGGTTGTGGAGTGCAGTTTGCTTATGTTTTGTAGAAGTGGACATTCATTTAAATGACATGATGCCGTGCCTCAACGGTCTGCACCAAAAGATGAGGAATGGCACCGCGATGAGGAATGGCAGCAGGTACCTGTCC